TCATGAAAATCTAATTGAAGCGACGTTTTTGTCCGCCATTCCTGACAACGGTATCTGACTTTACCGTTGTCAGGCTATTTCTAGATCCTGCGTGACATGGATATTTACAGGTTGGGCCATTTTTTAAACACACCAACAATGATATATCATTTTAAAGATAATTCAATTTGCAACAAAATGATATATTGTAGAACAATTTTCAACAACCCTGGCTCGAGCTATAACCATTTATGTGACATGGGGGTCAAAAAACACCTTTCCAATTTTCATTGATTTTGCAAACAATAGCCTATTTCTACCAAATTTTACTGTTCAGTTAAAAATTGCAACATTGTCATGACTCTTTCATAATTGGATATTATATTGTTATCTTTCAGTTTTTGAGCCATGCATGCTAAATAAACATGTGTATGCTTATTAAACAAATTCATTTCTTCTTCAGTCTGTCCAAATATGGCTCAATAGACCCACCCCCGGACTCACCTTCTGATCGGATTATTCGCTAAAGACGCAAAAACCATTGGTATAATTGATGGATCTCTGCGGAAGTACCATCAAACTCCTAATTATTCATTCTTTCAGTTCGTCTACATCCCTGAAAGGCTAGTGATCTCCATAGACCAACTGTTCTAAATGCCATAAGTACTATACATGTAATCAACAGGCTAGACTTTATATATCAGTAAGCAAGAATAGGGACATTTGCGATAAAAGGCTACTCAAATCGAGATGACATTTTTCTGAAAGGGTAGTGGCAGGGGCGGATCTGAGAACCAACAAGGGGGGGGGGCCCAAATTTCAGGTGAGAGAAAAAAACATGAGGAAAAAAATTTTGGGCCCCTAAAACGCAAAAGTGGGCCCAAATTTTGAAATTTTGAGGCCCATTTTCTTCAAAATTTGGCCTGAATTTAAAAAATAAGGCCTTAAAAGGCCCAGTAATGACCAAAAAGGCCGACTTTTGGGCCCAATTTTTTTTTCTGGGCCCACCCAAGGGGGGGAGGCCGGGCCCCAAGCCCCCCCCCCCCCTAATCCGCTAGTGAGTGGTGTCCACTCGGTGTTTCCCAAAAAGGAAACAATGAGCAAAAATATATTCTGAATGTTAATGACATGAGGTGTTAAAAAGGACTCCTCAAGGATATAAAAAACATGTGAAAGAAATTTCATTTTCGATAGGAAAGTGCTTCATCACACAGGTCCAATGCTACCCTGGAGTTTTTGGAGTTTCGAAATGACACCATCTCTAGCCCGGACAAATGGCTTACTGGCAGTCAAGATGCCAATAATGTTGATTATAATACCTGGGGCATCTAGAACAGTTGGTATTTAAAGATACCCAGCCAATCAGGGATGTAGAGGTACAATAGCAGTTGAATGGTAATTTTGCATACATCCATCAATTATACCATCAACCAATGGCTTCCGCGTCTTAAGCGAATAATCCGATCTGAGGATGGGTCGGGGGTGGGTCTATTGAGCCATATTTGGACAGACTGAAGAAGAAATGAATTTGTTTTATAAGCATACACATGTTTATTGAGCATGCATGGTTCCAAAACTGAATGGAATCAATATATAATATCCAATTATGAAAGACTCATGACAATGTTGCGTCCATTTTTCAGAATGGGGTATTTGGATCTCGTAAGGGGTAACAGGGTACGGATAGCTAATTTTCAGATTTTACCGCGTATTCGTTCCATGAGGCAATATGTTAGAAAATTACCGAATTTTACGTATTTTTACGAAAAATAGCACTAGTTTTATTATCACATGCAATGCTCAACTTTTAGAGGGCTTTTATCGTTTATTATGTAGATATTTCGAAAGCTATCTTATTTTCAATGATACCATAATTAATGAGGCATCGGGGCAGTCCAGTAACTTTTCATAACATTCGATACATTATATCACCTATGTAGAGATTGACTGTTTAAACTATTCCCGATGCTGTTAATCGAGACTGCAGATCGACATTAGCAGGAGATGGTGTACTTTTGCCAAACAATCGAATTTAGAGATCTTTATTATTTTGATGAATCGAAAATAAAAGATAAGTCTAACTAATTGCTCCAACAACTAAAAGCATTCATTAGGTTCATTATTACGGCGTCATAATTACTAAAATATGGCTGGCCATCTGGACCAATGTATCGTCATACTTTTAACGCCGTAAAATCTACTTTTAACGCCGTAAAAACGATTTCATACGCCGTAAAGAATTACTTTTAACGCCGTTAAAAACGATTTTGTACGCCGTCAAAACTGATTTTTTACACCGTTAAATATTATCTTTTACGCCTTTAAAAATTATTTTTACGCCGCTAATAATTGTATACGGCATTAAAACTGATTTTTTACGCCGTTATATATTTATTTGTAACTAGAAATGTTTATCCTGGAGTGTACATACAGTATAAAAACTTTATACTAGAAAGGTTTCTCTCAATACACACAGTATGGCTAGATACTCCCTTGATCACATTTGCACATCACATTATAAGGCATTAGGAGGAAGAGTTTTTTGATTAGAGGTTTAAAATGTATACAGGGCAGGGGCGTAGCCAGCTTTCAGTGGGGTGCGATCGCCGAAAAATTTTCAGTTTTCGGTCAGGGGGGTGCGATTTTGCCATAAGCAACACAAAAAATTAAGATTTCTTTTGAATTTTACAAAAATTGATGCAACTTCCTTCAAAATTGAGCTAGAAGCTTCAAATAAAAAGCATTTTAAAGCTCGTTTCTACCTCTATCCAATGGTCATATTTTCAAAGGTTTGGGGGGGTGCGATCGCACCCATCGCACCCCCCCCCCTGGCTACGCCCATGCAGGGAATGGCCTTTCAGAGGGAGACAAGTGAAGTGACACTAGATACTGCTCAGGGAGATAAATTGATAAGACTAATTACTAGAATAGTAAATTGATTTTTTCTTATAGTCTATAAAGGAGTACTACTGTACTTATAAGTGACTACACCATTCACAAAAAACACAAACTAAAATAAATTAAATGATAGGGTAAATGCATATTTTTATTTGTTCAAGTTTCACATTTCATTACAAATAACAATACAATATTTGTACCAATTTCAAAACATTTAGTATTTTGATACAGTATAGCTTAAAGATATTCACTGAGATATTACCAAATATTGGCAAGATTAGAAAATCTCAATCCCCAATCTACAGGGTGGGCCAAAGAAAATTGGAACATTTTTTCCATTCATTGTAAATTTATTGTTAGTCTGATTGTATTATCTTCAATACTTTAGGAACAAACAATTCATTGTCAGCACCCTGCGGAAATATGAATATACAAGCTTAACATTTAATCACTCAATGCAAGGGTTTCCTAAACATGTACTCCACCCACCTGAACAATCAGTCTGAGCAATATTTGACATATTCGTACATGGCTTAAATGATAGGTTTCGGTTTCGGTATTGCTGGTTGTTTTTAATCAAAAGTGCTTCCTAATTTTGTGTGCCCAATCACATATTTTTGTATCACTGGGCTTTATTAATCATTTTGTATTGTATCTCCCTCCATATATGTTTAGCTTAGATCGTTTACTAAATCTTGAACACAAAATATGTATGCAATGGTGGCTAGAAATATATTTTTCATTAATTTGCGATATACAATGGATTCTTTATTGTTTTTTAAGTATGTGCCCCCTGTTTTTGCCCCATTTCATATTTTCCATCCCCAGTCTTTATTAAACATTTTGAATTCTCATGATATATTGCACCAGTATGGTTCCTTTATTTCATTGCAGTGCATATACATGTATTCCCAAGGAAACTTACCCAAGCATGTATTCACATGGTATCTTGCACAAGTATGCTTCCTTTATTCCATTGCAGTGCAATATTACCAGACTTACCCCAGTATGTATTCACATGGTATCTTGCACCAGTATGGTTCCTTTATTTCATTACAGTGCATACAATTACCAATGAGACTTACCCCAGTTTGTATTCACATGGTATCTTGCACCAGTACGATTCCTTTATTTCATTGCAGTGCTATATTGCAAGACTTTCACATGGTATCTTGCACCAGTATGGTTCCTTTATTATATTGCAGTGCTATATTACCAGACTTACCCCAGTATGTATTCACATGGTATCTTGCACAAGTATGCTTCCTTTATTGCATTCCAGTGCTGATATTACCAGACTTACACTAGGATGTATTTATATGGTATCTTGCACCAATTTGATTCCTTTATTTCATTGCTGTATGTATATTACCCCAGTATGTATTCAAATGGTATATTGCACCAGTATAGTTCCTTTATTTCATTGCAGTGCTATATTACCAGACTTACCCCAGTATGTATTCAGATGGTATCTTGCTCCAGTTTGGTTCCTTTATTCGATTCCAGTATGTTATTACCGGGGTTATTACCACAGTATGTATTCACAACTAATCTTGCACAAGTTTGTTTCCTTTAATAATCATGAAGCCTATTTTTATGCATTGAAAGGACGAGTATTAACATGGCAAGAGATTTTGGACAGCTGTATTTTTGGTCACGGGTATTTCCTGACCATACAATGAACATTTTATATTAAAACAATAACCTTGACGAAGCTCTCTTTTAAGAAGTGAAGTCAAACGAATGCAAAGTGTAGTAATGGGCCGGAATGAGGGAGTTACACTATAGGATGGCTTGTTGGGTTTAGGAATCATTTCCTTGGGGTCAATGCAGTACTCTCTGGGGAGCGATGCAATTTTCCAACTCTTCAATAGTACCCTTTCTCCCCGCCTTTCTCCTCCTTTTTGGACTAATATGTATGTTTTCTCTTGGGCTTGGGGCGGATAGACTTTTAGCCTCTTTTATAGCTTTTTTTACCTCATGACCTCATGAGGTCTTCTGCCCCTATTAAGTGGCCCCCTCTTAAACTTGGGAGGCCTCTTTTTATCATGTGTGTCATTTACCGACAATGTTCGCTTGATTACGTTCGTATTTTTTCTGTTCGTAAATTTACTGCAACACTTTGTAAACTTCAAGCAAAATATAGAAAAATAATGTTTTCAAGAATCTATTTCCATAACGCCATTAGTTTTGGCAAAAGGGGTTTAACACATGGGCTACAGCATGAACCGATAAACAGACATGTTGTCTCGAGGTTCCAGATAAGAAAGGTATTAAGGTAGGCCAAATTTAATTATTATCAATTCAGTTCTAAAAATAAACAAATTCAAAAAAAAGAATTGTTTTTTACACTATTACAGACTCATATTTTCTGTATGTATGCTAGTCTAACTGTAGGTACGGACCTCTGCCAGATCCAGTTCCCATTGGTAGTAGGCTCAATGAATATACCCCAGGACAAGACACAAATCTTCGGAAATTTTTATTTCCTTTATTTTGGAGTCAGTTTATCAATAAAGACATGTCCTACCTCAAACGATGCGTGTTGTTAGCTTCATCTCCAATCACTAATCTTATACACATATATGAAAGCGTTTAATAAAAGCTCAAAATAGCTGAGCGTTATTTTAATGGAACGCTTCGGCTTTTTCCGGTGTTCAAATGTTTATTACCGAAGTCGAATGTATTTTCTGAGAATGTGACGACACTCCTGATGTCAGGAGTAACCGAGAAACACCATGACGTTTCTTAAGGTAACGCTAAAGTTAATCATGCAATAGAAATCAGAAAAAGAAGATCCTCCTTTGTGAAAATAGGTTCAACATTTTCGTTTCTGCTTTGTTATATATGAACTAGGTCAAACTTTATTTTTGATTATTCATTTTTGCTACTTTATTTGTAAAAATACCAGCCATGGCTGTTCAATGGGATTTGCTACGCTTTGGTGTTGCTGTTGTCCAGTCTGTTTAGCCTGTGTTGTGAGAAATTCTAGTGAAACCCCTGGCTAGGGTTATAAGGTCTAGAGATCTAAGTCTTTCTGGGTATGTCTGTTAATTCTCGCAGGAATAGAATAATACTTGTAGCTCTTCTTTGTACTTTGTACTCTCGTAATAGCAATAAACTAAATAAAAGATATTATGAAAATTAAGGTGATCCTACATACAGTTGGGGACATAAATAAATAACAGGTGGATTTGCTGAAGTGAGGATTTCCCATGTTAAAATAAGAGAATTTACAAGAGGCCATAAATCAGTGGATGAGATTATACAAAATGTAAAATATACAAATTTTAAGGGATATGTATCTAGACAATATTGGAAATTATGGGCTTTCAGACCACCATAATTAGGAAATGGTGATCGAAAATCGACCTGTCATTTATTTTTGTCCCCAACTTTATGTAACTTATTACGTTATTCTATTTGAAAAAAAAACGAACTTTATTACATAGTATACTGATAACCAAATTGTCCTTTATTTGTGCAAAAACCGTATCAATCTAGGTTTCCTAAATACGTCTCTGGTTGTCCAAAAAGCAGTTGCAGAAGCGATACACTCCTCAGATCCATGCCCGAATCTCTGTAAAGACGAATAGAACACCTTGATCTTTAGCACTGTTTTTTGACCTTGATGGCAGGCTCTCAACACGTGTATTTATGGGTCCTCTCTAAGATTGCTTACAATCTTCGATCTCTAGTTTTTTTTATCATTTCAGTGTTCTCCCGAAAAAATTTTTCAACTGGGTGCAAGATTTCAAGTCTGAATAAATCAGCACTCGCTACGCTCACAATATCTCCGTGTAGGTGCTTACTTCGCTCATTTTTTAAATCAGAAGTTGAAGTGCAGATGCCAACTGGGTGCCAACTGGGGGGCCTTTGGTTTCAAGTAGGGGGAGCCCCCGGTAAAAGTGACATGGGAAAGAACTGCATTTGGATCTCATTAAAAGAAAGCAATGGCATATATTTTATGATGATAACATAACCTGTAGATATTTATTGCAGGTTATGTAGACCCCAACTATTAAAAGAAATTCATACACGACTACACATTTTACTATATCAACAGCCTATTTATTTGTAAACACTCGTCTCATAAAAAATATGCCAAAATACTACTTTGTTATTATGATCATTATTTCACTGTCACACGTCATCAAAAATCAGGTGATATTTTTTGTAATATTCAGTGCTTTGGTTATTATTGAGGTTCAAATTAACTGACACCATTCGCCAATAACCCAGATGCGAGTAGAAATAATCTTGATTTACGTCATTAAAAATTCAAAATTCAGTCAAAGTAATATCATATTTGAAATCTACATGTAAAATTACATCTAGAAATGTGGTTTTAAAAAGTGTTTATAAACTTTGAAAAATTAATTTTCTTTGAAAATGTGACTTCTAGCTCGGGGAGATTCCCCATAGACCCCATGCTATAAAATCACAAAAAATGAAATATCTTTTCTTTTAGTGGACAGATAATATTTTGCTTTACTGGATATATTTTCATTAGTATAAGTATCAGACACATAAGGGTTATATGAAAATTGAGCCACTTAAATTGATAATATTCAAGTTTAAGGGAACTTTCTTATATACCTGCCATGTTAATTGACCCGAATCAGCCACCTGGTGGTGAAACTGGTAACTACCTACTCGCATTTGGGTAATTGTGAATAAGAGATTAGCCAGGCGAAACTCTTTTGATAAAGGCAGCCGATATGGCGAATGAATGGGTTGAAAAATTTTGAAAAACTAAGAGGCATATTTTCTCCAATTTTAACCTAATAAATCAAGCTTACAACTAAACATTAAAAGTATTCAAAATATCTTGCAACCTAAGTGACCTCATTGTGATCACCATTCAGGTTGTAATGCTACATTTTATTAGAGAAATAATTGTCTCACATTTTAACTCCCGCCATTTTGAAAGGTGTTTTTCGTTCTAAATCATGGACCTCTACACAAGGGCTTATTTAATACCCGGGGCTTAAGCTGTGTACCAAACGAAACGACACTACATCCGGGGCTTAATATGATCTGCATTACACAATGGTATAGAGGGGTCAGTTTTCTCAGACCTAGATACCTTTTTCTGTACCGTTCTGCGGTTATTTTACTCTATGGCATTGCAATCCGTTCACATCATTAGCTACATAATTGATTAACTCAAATATATGATATGTAAATAAGGGTTAATACCAACAGAAAAAACAGGGAAATGTACTTGAAGTACAAGTCAGTCAGTTCTGTCAGTCAGTGTTATCCCCTCTATAGCGCAGTATGAAGGTGACCTGATTATGTAAATGAGAAGACCCATTGGTTTCTCGTCAGAACAATCAAAATGGATGTGGACAATCTTCGTTTTAACTGTTGTTTCTCAACGTTTTGAGCGATCATATGCCAGCATGAGCTGGAATATTCAGCTCTGGACTTCATGTCCAAAGGGGGGTAACACACATTGTCAGAATCAAATTCAAGTTATCGCACCCCATTTTAATTGGTTGATAGAAGCCCTTGGTTTACACCTAGTTTTCACTTTTAATTTGAAGAATTCTTAGTTTATTTACATCCAGTTTCAATATTACACTGAGTTTACACTTAAAGAAACTTATAAGTGAAGTTCACATCTAGTCAATCAGTGTTACTGATTTACAAGATGTTTAATAATTTCATATTTAAAGCGTTGACCATGACATAGTAGGTTAATCCATCAGCCGGGTGTTAAATTTGTGACGGCTACCTAAGTCAATATTCCTGCCAAATTATTGCAGACCATTGCCAAAGTGAACACAATCTGGGAATTTGATTAGCCAATCAAGTGATGATTTGGTGTTATTGGCCCTTTAATCTTGATCTACATGTTTTTATGATTTCCAGTGTACAATATCTTCACACCACTGGCTACCGGCAGACTGAAGGAGGAGAGTTAAAGTGGAGCTACACTCAGGGTTCTGGCACAGTCCCGCTACTTGGAGTTACAGTAGGGGAACTTTTGGAACAACGAGTTGAGAAACATCCTGATAAACTTGCGACAATATTCTCTGCGTCTAGAACCAGGAAAACATTCCAAGACTTACTCACAGAGGTATCAACTAATGTTTGTTATTTGGCCAGGGTCATTCAGAAACTCAGACAATATTTGCCTTGCTAAGAATAGCCCTGATAGAAGAGTGTGTTCACATGATCGGCAAGGGAAAGAAAAACTAAATGGTGATGGTATTATCATGCTTTATTACCAGATGAAAGTTCAAGAATGTCTAGAATCTGGATGCTCTTGTATGACCTTTAGCATTTACAAAGTCAAAATATCATGGCACCTGAGATGAAATAAGAGGATTTCCTTTATGGGTTTCATCTTCACTTAATTTATATGGCAAGTGATTTTAGACGGTCATATCTTTCACCATGAGTACTTTCTCAATTTAAATGTGATATTTCTCATTAACACAATATCATGCGGTCTTAACTTCAAGGATTACGAGTCTCATACTGCACCGTTTTCTTCAAACTTGTTCCATTCAAAGCATAACAAAAATCCCTTTCTGATGGTACATTATTATTCTCTTAAACAGAGTCCCTACTTCCAGCGGCATTTTGGTCCCCAGCTGTAAGAAGGCCTTCTAACAGCTGGGGACCAAAACGCTGCTAGAACGAGGGACTCTTTACAATAAAGTATTGCACCGACAGAAAGGCAATTTTGTTTTGCTTTTAATGGTATAAGTTTGAAGAAAAACGGTGCAGTATGAGACTCGTAATCCTTGATTTTCAAACATCCGGTAGGTCAAAAATTCAAATTAATGGTCGAAGTTAGGACCGTGTGAATATGTTAGCTTTCAAGTAAATTCTCAAGGATAATAAAAAATATCAATCAAATAATTCGAAAAATTATGAAGAGCGACCCCATGTCAACATTTTTTTCAAAATGTTGAACCTATATTTACTCAAAAGAGGATCTTCTTTTTCTGATTTTTATTGCATGAAAAGATTATTCAACAAGGGTCTAAAACTTATTCAAAAGTAGAATGGTATTGAATGTCTAGTTTGAAGTTATCAATTTTCGATGACCAAAAACAATTGATAGCATGAGTTTCCCCTATGAGAAACATGGGATATTTGGTTTTTAACTTTATCGCATTTCAATAGCCACCCCCTTTTCAGAAGTTGTTAATATATTGTAGGAGAAACTTTTGAGATATTTAAATTGAGAAAAACAAGATCCTCTTTTTAGAAAATAAACCTAACATTTATAGAAAAGTGACAAGGTGGGGTCATAATCCATAATTTTTCAGAGTTTTTGATATTTTATTATCATAAGGACTTCACTTGAAAGAAAACATATTGTTTTAATAAAGACCACTGTATTGGACAGAACATACTCAAGGTTAAATATATGATTGTCCAAAATCACTTGCCTTACTATACACGGTCCTTTGAAATGGAAATATCAGGATGGCATTTACCATACATGTATGATTGTTCCAGGCTGATCAATTAGCTGCAGGCCTGATAGCTCTTGGTGTAACTAAGGGAGATAGAGTTGGTATATGGGCACCCAACTGTTGGGAGTGGATATTGGCTCAATATGGTACAGCTAGGGCAGGGATTATATTGGTAAGCTACCACTAGATTAAGAGATTTATTCACTCTACAGCTAGGGAAGGGATTATATTGGTAAGATACCACTAGATTAAGAGATTTATTCACTTTACAGCTAGGGCAAGGATTATACTGGTAAGCTACCACTAGATTAAGAGATTTATTCACTCTACAGCTAGGGCAAGGATTATACTGGTAAGCTGCCGCCAGATATAGGGATTCATTCACAAAAATTCAAGGCTCTACTGGAATGAGTAAAATTTGGTTTACTGGTTTAATACTGGTAAGTCAATTTTCAATTTTCCTGAGACCATATTTATCATGAGATTCACATATGTGTTCTTCTGAGGGTATACCAGCAGCCGTTTAGATGAAAGGTTTAACATGATGTATTGTTACGCATGTTCCTCTCATTTGTAAGCTCATATCAGACATCCGTAAAGATGTTGCGACCTTAGATTTGTCAAAATGTTATTGTTATTGTTAAATTGAGAAAAATGCAACAGATACAGACAATATGAGTAGTCTTTAGATATTGTTTACCTTAAGTAGATTGTAAACAAATTAACATTAGCATTTCAAATCAGGAAAAGTTGTTTACTTAAATTATTTAATTTATAATTTTATAGGTGAATATCAACCCAGCTTACCAGACAATGGAACTTGAGTATGTCTTGAAGAAAGTTGGTTTGAAAGTCCTTATAACAGCAGAGAAATTTAAGACACAAGACTACTATGAGATGTTGTTTCATATCAACCCAGAACTTGCCTATTCCCCCGCTGGTGATTTGAAAAGTCGCAGGTAGTAACACTGACTCATTGAAATATTTATTTTATATAATCTTTGAAACCCATCAGTTCAAAATTGGTTATTATAATTCATTAATAACATTTTTAGAAGTTGTATGTACAAATACCTACCAATACCTAACAAGCAACTTTTCAAAGATAATTTCCTGGCATGTAAAATTTTACAATTTAACGAATAGAATGTAAAATATTTTACAGCTTGCCTGAACTGAAGACAGTTGTCATGATTGGTGAAACAAAACATAGGTAAGTCATCAGGAACCAAAACAGTAGAGCCATAATGAGGCTAGATGTTGTTGTTAGACACCAATGCCACCATTTTAGTTGAAAAATCATCTGAATAGATATATTTCTGTAAAATTTTGGCTGACCACATATATAATATAGAGCTATTTGTATTGTATGGTATGGTATGGTATTGTATTGTATGGTATGGTATTGTATAGTATGGTATGGTACTATATGGCATGGTATGGTGTTGTATTGTATGCTATGGTATTGTATTGTATTATATGGTATGGTATGGTATTATATGGCATGGTATGGTATTGTATTGTGTTGTATTGTATTGTATGCTATGGTATTGTATTGTATGGTACAATATGGTATGGTATGGTGTTGTATTGTATGCTATGGTATTGTATTGTATTGTATGGTATGGTATGGTATTATATGGCATGGTATGGTGTTGTATTATATGCTATGGTATTGTATTGTGTTGTATTGTATGCTATGGTATTGTATTATATGGTCTTATATGGTATAGTATGGTGTTGTATTGTATGCTATGCTATTGTATTGTATTGTATGGTATGGTATTATATGGCATGGTATGGTGTTGTATTGTATGCTATGGTATTTTATTGTATGGTATTGTATTGTATGGTATGGTATGGTATTGTATTGTATGCTATGGTATGGTATTATATGGCATGGTATGGTGTTGTATTGTATGCTATGGTATTGTATTGTATGGTATGGTATGGTATTGTATGGTATGGTATTGTATTGTGTTGTATTGTATTGTATGCTATGGTATTGTATGGTATGGTATGGTATTATATGGCATGGTATGGTGTTGTTTTGTATGCTATGGTATTATATTGTATTGTATGGTATTATATGGCATGGTATGGTGTTGTATTGTATGCTATGGTATTGTATTGTATGGTATGGTATGGTATTATATGGCATGGTATGGTGTTAAATTGTATGATATGGTATTGTATTGTATTATATTATATGGTATAGTATGGTATTGTATGGCATGGTATAGTGTTGTATTGTATGCTATGGTATTGTATTGTATGCTATGGTATGACATGGTATGGTGTTGTATTGTATGATATGGTATTGTATTGTATTATATTATGTGGTATAGTATGGTATTATATGGCATGGTATGGTGTTGTATTGTATGCTATGGTATTGTATGGTATGGTATGGCATGGTATGGTGTTGTATTGTATGCTATGGTATTGTATTGTATTATATTATATGGTATAGTATGGTATTATATGGCATGGTATGGTGTTGTATTGTATGCTATGGTATTTTATGTTATGGTATGGTAATTGCATTGTGTCATTTCAGGGGAACCATGACTTTTGCTGAGTTGATGCAGGCTGGAACTAATAAGCAGTTGGCCTCTGTCAGAGACATGCAAGCTAAACTACAGTTTGATGACCCTATTAACATACAGTTTACATCTGTAAGTTCTGTTAACATATGTACAGTTAACACAGTACAGTTTACTGTAAGTACAGTTTACTGTAAGTACAGTTTGCATATGTTAGTACAGTTTTCATATCTAAGCGCAGTAAAGATCAACATCAATTTTATTGAGTCTTGCCCATGTGTTGGGGGGAAAATCATCTCAGTAACTTTTCATAAATCATGAGAACTCATTGTTACACAAAGGCTGAATTTTACCTTTACCCTGGAATAATTTTAACTTTTCATATTGCCTCTTGTACCACATATTGTGGTTTTGCAGTCTCATACTTTCAGGGTACTACAAGGACACCAAAGGGTGCAACATTGTCCCATCATAACATCGTAAATAATTCATACTTTCAGGGTACTACAGGGACACCAAAGGGTGCAACATTGTCCCATCATGACATCGTAAACAATTCATACTTTCAGGGTAATACAGGACACCAAAGGGTGCAACATTGTCCCATCATAACATCGTAAACAATTCATACTTTCAGGGTAATACAGGGACACCAAAGGGTGCAACATTGTCCCATCATAACATCGTAAGCAATTCATACTTTCAGGGTAATACAGGGACACCAAAGGGTGCAACATTGTCCCATCATAACATCGTAAACAATTCATACTTTCAGGGTAATACAGGGACACCAAAGGGTGCAACATTGTCCCTTCATAACACCGTAAGCAATTCATACTTTCAGGGTAATACAGGGACACCAAAGGGTGCAACATTGTCCCATCATAACATCGTAAACAATTCATACTTTCAGGGTAATACAGGGACACCAAAGGGTGCAACATTGTCCCTTCATAACACCGTAAGCAATTCATACTTTCAGGGTACTACAGGGACACCAAAGGGTGCAACATTGTTCCATCATAACACTGTAAAAAATTCATACTTTCAGGGTACTACAGGGAAACCAAAGGGTGCAACATTGTCCCATCATAACAACATAAAACATTCATACTTTCAGGGTACTACAGGGAAACCAAATAGTGCAACATTGTCCCATCATAACATCGTAAGCAATTCATACTTTCAGGGTAATACAGGGACACCAAAGGGTGCAACATTGTCACATCATAACATCGTAAACAATTCATACTTTCAGGGTAATACAGGGACACCAAAGGGTGCAACATTGTCCCTTCATAACACCGTAAGCAATTCATACTTTCAGGGTACTACAGGGACACCAAAGGGTGCAACATTGTTCCATCATAACACTGTAAAAAATTCATACTTTCAGGGTACTACAGGGAAACCAAAGGGTGCAACATTGTCCCATCATAACAACATAAAACATTCATACTTTCAGGGTACTACAGGGAAACCAAATGGTGCAACATTGTCCCATCATAACATCATAAAACATTCATACTTTCAGAGTACTACAGGGAAACCAAAGGGTGCAACATTGTCCCATAATAACAACATAAAACATTCATACTTTCAGGGTACTACAGGGAAACCAAAGGGTGCAACATTGTCCCATCATAACATCGTAAAAAATTTATACTTTCAGGGTTCTACAGGGACACCAAAGGGTGCAACATTGTCCCATCATAACATCGTAGAAAATTCATACTTTCAGGGTATTACAGGGACACCAAAGGGTGTAACATTGCCCCATCATAACATCGTAAACAATTTATACTTTCAGGGTAATACAGGACACCAAAGGGTGCAACATTGTCCCATCATAACATCGTAAACAATTTATACTTTCAGGGTACTACTAGGAGACTAAAGGCTGCAACATTGTCCCATCAAAGCATTGTAAACAATTCATACTTTCAGGGTACTACAGGGACAACAAAGGGTGCAACATTGTCTCATCATAACATCGTAAACAATTCATACTTTCAGGGTACTACAGGGACACCAAAGGGTGCAACATTGTCCCATCATAACATCGTAAACAATTCATACTTTGTTGGTATGAGACTTGGATACCATCAAAGGTAATAATGTACATACGGTACATAAGCATGCTTTAATGGTGATAATAGTGACCACTGGCCGTTATGAAAATGAATAAAAGTATGGTTATTAGTACATGTTCATAAGAATGATTGATGAAACTACACATATATTTTTTTGATGTTCATATGTTAAAAAACAGTTTAGTGACCCATATGTTGGAGAGATTGACTTGATTAAGATTGGCATAGTCTAACTTGATTAGGATTGGCATAGTCTAAGCTCCTTAGGATGTAATACATGTATCTTGTAAAACAATTTTGTAAATAAATGAAATATTAAATTAAAGGGTGTGGTTAGACTAGTAAATGGTTAGTCTTACTTGTATTTTAGTTCACACAGGATATGTGCGCCAGTGCCACTTTACCATTGCTTTGGTATGGTTCTAGCCAGTCTTCAGTGCATAACGCATGGTGCTACAATTGTCTATCCATCTCCTAGCTTTGAGCCTGAGGCAGCATTACAAGCTGTACATGATGAAAAGTATGTACCGTATAGGTTTACAAATAGTGTGTATAGGTTTCATATTTCTTGTGGGTCTATGCTTGTAAAAGGTGAAGACCATTATACGTTATATCACCCCTTTTTCTGTACTGTAAGGTAAAAAGTAACAAAGGGCAAACTAAATCTAGATAAGAGCAAAAAATATGCATAAACTCTCACATTTGCACGCATTTAAATAATAAGAATATTCCTTTCGTTTAATAGAATTCAGACAAAAAATAATTCCACTGGAAAGAGCGCTGATTGTTTTTATTTGATCCTTTCAGATGTACATCATTGTATGGGACACCAACCATGTTCATAGACATGCTAAATTTACATGATTTTGACATCTTCAACCTGGAAAGTCTAAGCACAGGTAAAAGATCAATTTTGTTTATTTACTATAGACTATGTGTGCGTAGGGGCCCACCTCCTACCCCCTAGGATGGGCTCAGAAAAAAATATTGGCCTAAAACTTTTAAGGACCCTGTTAGTGGCCATTACCTGGCCTTTTTGGGCCTTATTTTTTAATTTTAGGTCAAATCACTTTGTCATTATCGCCGATTACCTTCAATATTTCCACTAGAGACTGCTGGATATCGATCTAAAGTTATACATTATTTCTAATTTGATGAGAGATCATCATTATTCGTGCAAAAGTCGTGTAAAAGTCGAGAAACATTAAAAAGAAACCAGAAAGTTCACGACCTTGACATGCGCAGAACATCTGCGCAGTAGCTTTTGAAATTTCTGAATGCCGATAAAGAACAATTCCTTCATTCATTATGGACTATTTGGAGACAATATTAGCATGGTATGGTGTGGGAAGCACCCATCGATAGATATGTATCGAGAGGATGCATAGAATTACAAAACGCGTCGTGTTTACAGCAGTTTTAGGGTAAGTACTCTATTATCGCCCGCTCCTGGATTTTGAGAAATATTTTTTTCCTGATATATTCTTCAATTCTTGTTGATTCCTCGATGTTTCTTGAACTTTGTGAAGCGGGGTGGGCGCTTATTAGAGAGTGGGCGGTAATTACAGAGAATACGGTACTAACTTTGGATTTATATATTTTACTGTTTACTGTGTTGAAGTTACTAAGTTAACAATTATGCTGCCCTCTATATGTAAACTGGATTAATAGGTATCAGTGATCTCCCCATCATTAGAGCAAGTGGGCACTGCATCCCTTGAGATTTTAAAAATAGGCTTGCACCCCCACCTGAGAATTCATTTGCAGCCACTTGAAAATGAGAAAAAGCATGAAAAATAGGCATATTTCAAATGGAATAAATTGAGAAATTAAGAATTTTGCACCCACCTGAGCGAAATCCTTGGGAGAACACTATGAAGTGCTGCCCTCTTTTTAATCTATTGACTACCCAGAGTGATGAGATTTCTTTTCACCTCAGAAATGACCTTGAAATCCAGATCGACCTGATAATCGGTCACAATTTTTTTCACTAAGGTTGCTCCAATTTACTCAAAAAATTTCTTAAAATGTGTAGAAATTATCTCTGTTGTCTAATTCTATTAATTGAGCATCACTTGTTGAATATGTAAGAACTAAATTGTCAAAAGCTGGTAAAAATGAGAAATTCTCTGGTTTGATCTGATTTTAGAGCCTGAGATTCAAGGTTTATGTAACAAAATTCAAATACACATAAATAGGGGAACGCTTTTTTTATCAGTTATCATAATTCCAAAATGGTTTGATAAGGCCTAATATGACTTAATTAATGAGAAAGAATTGCCTTTGACCTTGTAATAATTACTAGACTGATAAAAAAATGGTTCAATAAGGCCTGAGATGACTTCATTAATGAGAAGGAATTGCCTTTGACCTTGTAATAATTAACAATTGATTACTACAATAGTGCAATGTCTAGACAGATAAACTGAATGACTTGGCCTTAATATTGGATTTGCCTTGATTGAGACCAAAATGATAATAAACAACAGCACTTAATAGGTCAACATGGCTTGATTCAAGATAAACCTTTTGCTTAACACAAACACCAAATGACAGTTATTGTGACCTACTGTGACTTTCTAGCTCTGTCAAGGGCCCTTATGTGTTAGCAAATGACAGTTATTGTGACCTACTGTGACTTTCTAGCTCTGTCAAGGGCCCTTATGTGTTAGCAAGTGACAGTTATTGTGACCTAATGTGACTTTCTAGCTCTGTCAAGGGCCCTTATGTGTTAGCAAATGACAGTTATTGTGACCTACTGTGACTTTCTAGCTCTGTCAAGGGCCCTTATGTGTTAGCAAATGACAGTTATTGTGACCTACTGTGACTTTCTAGCTCTGTCAAGGGCCCTTATGTGTTAGCAAATGACAGTTATTGTGACCTACTGTGACTTTCTAGCTCTGTCAAGGGCCCTTATGTGTTAGCAAATGACAGTTATTGTGACCTACTGTGACTTTCTAGCTCTGTCAAGGGCCCTTATGTGTTAGAAAATGACAGTTATTGTGACCTACTGTGACTTTCTAGCTCTGTCAAGGGCCCTTGTGTGTTAGCAAATGACAGTTATTGTGACTTACTGTGACTTTCTAGATCTGTCAAGGGCCCATATGTGTTAGCATTATTATAACTTTTGGAATTGATAAGACTAATGTGGCGTGTGACAATGTGACAATTGTTTTAATGCAAAATAAAACTAAGCCTAAGCCTGATGTATTATATTCTGAAGGCTGTTTATTCTAGGTCTAATGGGTGGTTCTAACTGCCCACCTGAGATCATGAAACAAGTCATAGAACGCCTACATATGCCTGATGCCACAGTATGTAATTGCTTCAAATGCAGTGCATCCTGCAATGCAGGATCCTGCAGTTCATTGCTTCACATGCAGTGCATCCTGGCTAAACCCTGTTTACATATAAAAGGAGCACAAATTGTTAACTCACATGGGTGTCTGCTACTGTAATCGCCCACTTGTCTGTCCGTCTGTCTGTCTGTATGTTCGTCTGCCAATCTGTCAACACATTGGTGGCAGATTTGCATAATCCTCCGCAACAAATCTAATAGTTTTACTATAAAATTATTTCATACTTGTCTCTTAAATGAAACTTTAAATGGTGGCCATTTTATTGAAGAAAATCAGGTCGTCAGCCTTTTTTGGTGAATACTTTACAAGTTTTCTATCAATTTGCTTGACATTGTGCATTTACATTACTTTATAGGTTAAGAATAATGTCTAAACGTTTTTGCTAAACATGTAGCAAAGATTCAAAATGGCCTTCACTTTAATTTTCAAAATATCACTTTTTATGTTATAAATCCAAAAGTGGGGCATTGATTTGCTTGAAACTATACAGGCAGCTAAATGTATAGGTAAACAATAAATGTTTAGAAGCTTTGATGAAATAGCTTGTAGAATTTAAAAATGGTCGCTTCTTTTATTGCTGAAAATCATGTTTTCAGCTAGCTGTTTGGTCTCAAGTTAAAAAGTATTTAATCAATTTGCTTGAACTTGTACAGCTATCATATTGATGTTAATATAATGTTTACATGTTACTACAAAACATGTCACAAGGATTCATAATTGCTGCCACTTTTATTGTTATATGTTATGAATCCAAGTTTTACATCGCAAGCTTTGCTTGAAATTGGGTGGGTGGGGAGCAGGCATCTTGATAAATTCTTGTCTCCAGGATTTTAGCCAAACCATTTGAGGGATCCATCTGAAATTTTCAGGGATGTTCCTACATATATGAAATTTTAGACATGCTAAGCTTTTTGGCATTCTGGGTAAATTTTCTTAAAAGGTGGACATTTGGATTTTCCGTCCTGAAATCTTGTCTGTGTAAATTAATTGTCTGATCACCCCTCATGTATTTAAAAGCTCTTATTTCTAGGTATAATGGGTGGTTCTCCTTGTCCACCTGAAATCATGAAAGAAGTTGTTGAGCGTCTTCATATGCCTGATGTCACAGTACGTAAAACAGTGAAACCCATATTAGTGAACACCTCAAGTCTGTATCTAGAAAACACCCCTTCTCAACACATATTCCACTACCTTCTGTATAAAATTGCCCACCTGAGATAATGAAACAAGTCGCTCAGCGTCTTCATATGCCTGATGTCACAGTACGTAAAACAGTGAAACCTTTCTTAGTGAACACCTCAAGTATGTATCTAGTAAACACCCCTTCTCAGCACATATTCCACTACCTTCTGTATAAAATTGCCCACCTGAGATAATTAAAACAAGTCATAGAGTGCCTACATATGCCTGATGTCACAGTACGTAATCAGTAGCTTTCTGATTAGGAATTGCTTCACATGCATCCTTAACCTGGCTAAACATATATAAAAGGAGCACAAATTGTTAGCTCACATGGGTGTTTGCTATTGTAATCACCAACTTGTCTGTCTGTCTGTGTATGTTTGTATGCCCTTCTGTCAACACATTGGTGGCTGATTTGTATAATCCTCCGTGACAAATCAAATAGTTTTACTATAAAATGTGTCTACATAAAGTCTTCAATTATCTCATACTTGTCTCAAAAATGAAACTTGCCTCATTTCAAAATGGTGGCCATTTTTATTGTAGAAAATCAGGTTTTCAGGTCTTTTTGATTAGTACTCCACAAGTTTTGTATCAATTTGCATGACATTAGTGCAGGTACATTGCTTTATAGGTTAAGAATAATGTCTAAAAGTTTTTGTTAAATATGTAGTAAAGATTCAAAAAGGCCACCACTTTAATTTTCAAAATATCACTTTTTATGTTATAATCCAAAAGTATTGCATTGATTTGCTTGAAATTATACAGGCAGCTAAATGTATAGGGAAACAATATCTAGAAGCTTTTATGAAATAGCTTGTAAACTTTAAAAATCGGTCACTTCTTTTATTGCTGAAAATCATGTTTTCAGCTAGCTGTTTGGTCTCAAGTTAAAAAGTATTTAATCAATTTGCTTGAAATTGTACAGCTATCATATTGATGTTTATATAATGTTCACATGTTACTACAAAACACGTCACAAGGATTCATAATGGCTGCCACTTTTGTTGTCATATGCTTTGAATCCAAGTTTTACATCGCAAGCTTTGCTCAGTCTGTCGGCCGACGTTATAAACCCATTGTTGTTTACCGGTTTTTAAAAAAAAGTGCGTAGTAATAATTTCGGCATTTTCGAACTACTTGTTTACGCCCGATTGGGCATGGTTTTTAACGAGTTGTTTAACAATCAAGATGTTACTTTAATAAAATAAAAATAGTATGCCTATAATAATTAGTACCTCCTCTTTCTAATGGTGTTTTTTTCAACTGCCCAAAACCACGGGAAATGGGTATAAAATGCGTTGGAAAAGGGGCTACTTTTAACATTTTTGAACTTCGACTTTGTCTGATTAATTCAT